CCAGCTAACCACCGGATCCGGGCCCATCCATTGTCATGCCATAGATAACCGCGCCTTTGGAGGCAGGCCTTGGCTTACTCCCCCTTTTTGTTTTTTATTTTTTATTTTTTATTTTTTTTTATTTTTGGTCTTTTTCGTTTTTTTTTTTTTTTTTTTAATTTTATTTTTTTTTTTTTATCGGTGCCAGGGATCGAACTCGCGATTGCCTGCTTACAAGGCAGGCGCTTATGCCGCTGAGCTAAATCCCCAGCCCCCGTTTCCTCAACCGGCGTTTTTCTCAGCCTGCTCGGCAGAGTAGCCGCCCATGAAAATACCGTCCGCCCCGCGGCGCAACGTCATAGGACGGCGGTCGCGACAGAGTGGAACGGGGCGTCACTTCCTGTGCCGGCTGAGAGAAGGGAGGGTTCCCTGTAGCGGCCTCTCGGCGGGGAGCCGCTTCTGGAAAAGAGCTCCAGGGCGGAGCGGATGGCTCTCTATCTCCTCCCCGCCAGAGAGCGCTTGGGGGTCCTTTTTCCTCTCTCTGCTTTTTTCGAGCGGCGCACGCACACAATTCGCGGCGCAACTCGGCATAGGAGTCAAGGCACGCATGTATCATTTCCCACAGGGGGCGAATAGCTGGTGAAATATCGCCTCCCAATTCCGCCGAGGCGAGGTCCCCGCCTAACTTCTCCCATGACGGCAGGTTTAAATGCCCTGTGGGTAAAAACCAGGGAGCCACCCTATCTACCTCTGTTATGAATAGTTCCAGTGTTTTTTGACCTACCCTGAGGTCTCTAGCTTTTAAAAGCTTTTTAAGGGCCTTCACCAAGGGCCGCGCCTCCGCGCTCGGTAAATTACCCATCCTCAACCTCTAAGGGCTGTTACTCACCGCGTGTGACTTAGAGAACCCGTCACCTACGCGTGAGCCTGAGGGGAGTCTAAAAGCCCTGTAGGTGCGCGCCACCCAGAGCCCAGGCTTATCCCCAACTCACCTGTCCGGCAGCACCACGCTGGAGCGTTGCACACCACCGCCGTGTCTCGGGGTTGATCAGTCCCCGTGCGGGTCACCAAATGTCGGTGTCGCTCCCGGCCTGCAGGAAGAACACGCGACAGATTCTGATAGTGTGCAACCTTGCCTTTATTTATCTCCGCGTGGGCCCCGCGAGGCCTCCACTCTGCCACCAGCCCTTTCTCGCCGGTGGACTTTTTCTATCTCTCTCTGTGCTTCCTCTGTGCTTCTCTGTCTCGTGGCGGGAGAGGCATTCACTTTTATAGGGTGACAGTGGCCAATCAGTTCAAAGCGCGCGATGCGGGCTAATTGGCTAACATCAGTTGTTGCTAGGCAGACTATCTTACAGAGCGGGTTGTTTAAGTCGCCAGCGCAATCAGGGGGCAGGAAGCAGGCGCCAACTTGACTCACTCGATGGGAGGGGCAATCTAGCTCAGGCTCCGCTCCCACCCACAGGCCCTACGTCCGCCAAGTAAGGCGACCGGTGTCGGCCGTGGCTCCCAACAGTGAACCTAGAGCAAACATGTTATTTGTTCTTCTTTTGAGACAAAGATGTTAATGTATGAGCTGTTTTTTAAAAGCTGAAACCTCAGTATTTAGGTTTAATTGTAGTGTTGACACTTTGTGATAAATAAGGGATTTTTGGATTGTAGTTTGGGCCCTTCTCTCTAAAAAGTTTGCCATCACTGGCCTAATCTATTCTCTCCCCCTCCATTCTTTGGCTATTTATTTATTTACTTTTTAGTATGAGAATTGAACTCAGAACCTCATGCTTGCCAGACAGGTGCTGTGCCACTGAGCAGTATCCCTGGTCTTATCCCTTGGTTATTTTGAAGCAAATTCCAGACATTATCTTACCTATGTATTCTTAAGCATGTGTCTCTAAAATATAGAGATCCTTTTTTTTTTTTTTGAGGGGGGTAATGCCAGTGTGCCTCTTATTGTAATACATTTTTAAAAAATTTAAACATTAACTATATTGTAGAGATCCTCCTGCCTTGGCCTCCCTTACTGCTGGGATTATAGGCTTGTGCCATCATGCCTGGCATAATACATAAGGTTTTTTTAAAAAATTATTTTAGTTTATTAGTACATGTATGTATTCCTTGTGGGAAGTTGGTGCATGTACATAAAACATCTTAATTCTTTTGTTATCCTCTCTCCTTTCTCTCCTTACCCCCTATGTCTGTCTCTGTATCTCCTTTTTGGGCCAGTACATGTTTACATTGTATAATGTTTACATTCCTTGTGTGGAGTTGGTTCAGGTACATAACACAATGAATACATTTTAAAGAATGAGTGTTTATGAGAATTCAGGGTTAGGCTGCTATGACTTTTAAACTGCCAGTTTTATTGTTTAAAAAAAATAAAGTCAAAGTGTTTAAAAATGGAAATTAGTGCTCTTCTATAACAGATAGCTATAATTCTAATTATAATAGCTATCAATTTTTTAGTGTGGTGTTTTTTTTTTAAATTTTATTTTATTTTTTTGAGGCAGTGTCTCCCTATATAATTCAGGCTAACCTTGAACTCACTATGTAGCCTAGACTGGCCTCCAACTTGTGGTGATGCTCCTGCCTCAGCTTCCTGAGTGCTAGCATTACAGACATGTGGCACCATGCCTGACTTAGTGGACTACTTTTTAATAAACTGTATGTTTTACAAAATGAGAAGAAGCCATATGTTAGTGGTATTCTAGGCAAAATAAATGAAGGGAACCTTGGTTTTTGCTGTGATGTGGATGAACCTGGAGGACATTATTCTGAATGAATTAAGCTAGTCACGAGCAGAAAATAGAATTGTCCTTTAATATCCTCCAGCAGTTGGTTCCAGGACACCTCTCCATAGCTCAAGAAGATATCAAAATCTGAAGATGCTCATGTCCCTTTAGGAAATACTTATATAATACCTCATACAGTGTAAATGCTGTTTAAATAGTTGTTGCACTAAATTGTTTTGGGAGTAATGAGAAGGAAAAGTTTGTACATGTGAGACACAAGTTTTCTTACTAGATATTTTCTTTCTGAAGTTGATTGATTCTGCGGATCAAGGATACAGGAGGCCAGCTGTAATATAATGTAGAATATGAAAGAATCAAACTCAGAAAAGAGAGTAGAAGAGTGTTTGCAAGAGATAAAGAGAAGGGTAGTGCAGAGATATTAGTGGTTAGAAACACAATTTTCGGTATAAGATGAGTAAGTTAGGGGTTGTACTTATCCTATTTGGAGGATATGAATTTTTAATAATGCAGTGTTGTATACTTGGAATTTGCTGAGAGTTGATCTTAAGCATTTTCACTACACGCACAAAGGTAGTTATGTGAAGTGGTGGATATAGTAATTAGCTTGAGTGTAGCAGTAATTTGTAATATATACTTACATTAAACTATCAGGAGTATTTTCAGTAATAAAGTTTTTGTCAGTTATACCTTAGAAAAACTAGAGGTGGGAGAAGATTAATCTGGCTGTGACAAAGAACATAGATTGCAGAGGACTAAGAGGTGATGCAAATACCTGACTCAGCAGAAAAGAGTTAATGAGAAAGTCTGTCTGCAAGGTTGGACTTATTTGGCTTCAGGGGACTTGGAGTTTGGAAGAGAGTCTACCATTTTCAGAACTAGTGAGAATCACTATCCTAATCTTTTTGTACAAACAATATATTTTGTACTGAACATCCTTTTTTCCACATGGAAATCTGACATTTTTGTGGGCTAGACAGAGAGTGCTTGAAAACCTGTCCCCAGTACAAACCTCGGGCATTGACTCTAATGTGATTCCTGGTATACATTTCATGTGTGATTCTGCTAGGAGAATGGACTGTGAAAATTTCTTCTGGGCTTCACCCTGTGTACCTTTTCACTCTGCTGATTTAACACATGTCCTTTTGCTGTCATAAGTCATAGTTAAGAGTATGACTTTATGTTGAGTTTTATACGTTCTATGAAACATCAAACCTGAAAGTGATCATGGAGACCCAATAAGCCCAGGAAGGCTGGGATTACGGTTCTAGACAGGAACAGATGGAAGTAGTTTGGTCCAGGTCGTTGGGACTGATGTGAGAGATATTTAAAAAGTGGAACTGACAGAATTTGGTGATTATTTTCACGTGGGTAGAAGAGACAGAAACATATCAAGGACATCTATAAATTTCTAACTTTAGCAACTGATTAAATAGAAATACCCATTTCCTGGGTGAGCAGCATAACAGAATAGGAAGTAGAAGGAATATTGAATCTGAAGAAAAATTATATGAAGTTTTTATTTTTTTACATATCTATTTTTTTGGTACTGGGAATTGAATTCCTCAGGACCTCGTGCTTGCCAGGCAGGTGCTGTGCCACTGAGCTGTATCCCTGGCCCTATATGAAGTTTAGAATCCTGAGAGCTTATTAGCTTTCTGAAACTCGGTTGTCTAATTGAGACTGTTTTGAGGCTTGAGACATTTGAGAAAATTTTTAAGTTATCAAGTGAATATAAATGTTAACTATGGTCATTAAGCTATCGTTTATTAAGTACTTAATATGCTTCAGAAGATGCCAGCCACTTTATTACTATTTTGTATTGTAGTTTTCATTGAATTCTGAGCCTCAGTTATCTAAATATTAGGGTTTCTTCTTCTTTAAACTTATATCATGTTTTATAAGTTTTGATAAGATCTCCCTCATAATAGAGGTCAATGATGTGTTGGTTAAACACAAACTCCCAAACATTGTTGACATCCAATCAGTGAGGGGATTTGCCACGGTTTTGTGGCTTCAATTCTCCAGCTTTTAAAAATACAGCAAACTTTTCACTCTAATAAGGGCTTCTAATTGCCAATCTGTTGATGTAAAGAAGAATTTTGCTTTCATAATTTCAGCTCTATTGGTGAACAAATAGAACATTTTAGTTTCAGTTTAATAACTGTTTAAGTGTTGAAAAAAACAAATTACACGTGCAAAGAAAGACAGAAATTACTTGTGTACATTATATCTGTATTCCAAGGAAATAGCAGTGTTCCCTTTCTCTTGTAGAACACTTTACCTGCATTGTGAAGGTGCTCTTCACCCTGCTCTACACACAGGCGCTTGCAGCACTTTCAGTGAAATGCAGTGAGGAAGACAGGTCAGCCTGGAAACACATGGGAGCTCTCAGAAAGGTTAGTCTCTTTTTTGAGTTTGTTGTTTTGTGGTTTGGGGAACTCATTTAAATTGAGGATATTAATGAATGAGATATTTACAGTATAAAATGAGTTAATGATATCTTAATTGGAAATTGAGTACCTTCAAGCTAAAAACAAAAAACCTAGACATGTTTCCTTGCACAATCAGGCCTTCTGTATCTGTCTCTAAATATTTGACATTTATCTCTAGGTTTGGGCAATTTGCTTTCACTGTGAGCCTTATACTTTTAAGAAGTTATAAAAATTAGGCCATTTCAGTGAACATAGTGATAAGATGTCTAGTTATCAGTCATTTTTTTTCTTTTTTCTGTAACCCCAATCACCACCCAAAGGTGGCTTTGTGATTTGTGACGTTTTGGCGGGGGGTGCTTACTGGGGATTGAACCCAGGGCCTTGTGCATGCTGGACAGACACTGTAACACTAAGCTCTCACCAGCTGTACATTTAAAAATTCTAGCTGTTTCTTAATTCTGCCCCTCTTAAGTGATCCTTTTTCATATTAGAATACACATAAGCAGACAGACACCCATACACAATATTACTGAATAATTCAATGAATGTTTAAATTATTAAAAATATTTACTACATATGGCAGTGACAGATTGCCATTAATTCCCCTTAATATCCTCCCTTCCCCCGAACATCCTTACTCTATTTTTCTTGCCACTGTCTTTCTGAGGCAGTCTGCAAGTCCTCATTCTTGAATATCTTTAATTGTGCTGTCAGCAGCTGCCTCAATTGCCCTGAATGGATTCAGTGTTTACCTTTTATGGTCATTTTGACTGTGTGGAAGAGCCATGAGTCACACTGTGCCAGGTCCAATAAATAAAGTAAATGCAGACACACCCAGATACTTCAGTGAGCCTGCCTTTCTGTTGAGTGGCACTTGCACCAGCAATATTATATGTTTTTATCTCATTTCAAAAAGACACTCATGAAACAGCTTTGAGAACAGCTTTCAGAAAGTAGCAAGAATGATGGGATAAATACATTTCAAGCGAAGGGGAGCATTTTGAGGGAGTTAATGCCAATGTATTATTTGACTAATGTTTTTTTAAAAATGTAAACATTAACCATATATTCTGATCACTGCTGTGTACATTTGTAAATTCTTAGCAAATTCGAAGGACGTTTCTTTATATAAACAATTTAGAAAAATCGTGCCAATTTAGTTAAATATTTTTAATGATGGGTACAGATGAAATACTCTGGGATCAAAGAAATGACTGGTGTAGCTGGTTTGGGTTAGGGTTGATAAAAAAATTACTGAGGTATTTTTTGGTAAGATTGTAGGAAAAATAATACGTATCGTGTAAATTAGATCTTTTGATGTTTGTTCAGAGTCTGTAAAACTTATGTAAAGGGTTTTCGTTAAAATGATATTTACTTGTATCAAAGCAAAAAGAACCGTCTTCAATACTTTTTCCCTTGTTCTTAGCTAATTGTTGGATGATTTTGCCTTCTTTAGTTATCTTTATTTTTTCTGACTTATCTAATCTGATATTTGTAATATTAATATTCAAATAAAATTCTAATTATGTATATCAGATTTTTATCATATCATTGTTTAAATGTTTTCTTCATACAGTCTGATCATGAAAAATTACACACTTAAGACTTGCTGATATAATTTGAATCTAAATATGTTCACTTAAGAATTTGCCAAAATGAGAATTGAATGATAGATTTAAACAACTGTGAGTCTGTGATGGAAGGAATATGTTGTAATTTAATTTAGGTAATCTTTATGTTGGCTTTTCTCATTCAAAATTGGTAGCTGCTTCTAAAAATACTTAATAGACTACTGTGAGCTGTTTTTATCATAATTATATTATAAATAGCTATAAAATTACTTTAGTGAATGCAAACAAAAAATTACAGTGATTGGTTTAGCATGTTATTAGCTTTTTCTACATTTAGAAACATAACAATAAATAATATCCACGAGTGTATTTATAATTAATGAAATGTATCATTGTATCTTCTATAAGTGTTTAGATCTCTACACAATTCATTTCTTTTTCCTTTCATTTTCTTTGTTTAGTTCTTTACGTTTTCAACTAAAGTACTTGTTTTCTACTTGTAAGCTTGTGTGTCTGATTTATTTAATTTAGCATTATGGTCTCAGGTACAATCATTTTCTACAAATGACTCAAGTTTATCCTTCTTTATGGCAGAGTAGTATTCCATTGTGTATAAATGCATTTGCTTTGTCCATTTTCTTGCTGGTGGACATGCAGACCAATAAGTACTACAATTTAGACAAAACATTCTATTGAACATAAACCCTCTAACCTCAATTCTCAATCTTTTTGTTCATTTAACGCAGTTACTTGTGTTACCTTTCCTTAGGAGTTTTTAATTTTGATTCTAGATCTTTTATCCATATTCCATGTCATTTTGTCTTAGGCTTCATGAGCCTACTCTTTCATTTATCCATAAACTGCTATGTAACATATGGTCTCTTAAGAGTTCTATGTGTGAAGTCACCCCCACCCCCCAAGAATTCTCAAAACCAAGGATCATAACTCTATATTTGACTTTCTGATTTGATATAGGATTTGTCATGTGTGTAGTAAATGCTTAAAATATATTTGATAATGGATTAAAAGCTAATTATCACTCAGTAACTTATATAGGTGATCTGAACACAAAGTCCTATTTTTTTGAAATACTTTTCTGTTGCTATAGTCTATAAATATTTAACTCAAAAGAATATCTTATGTTTATTTTATATATAATGTATCTCAAACTTAGTACCTTGCTACTTGCCAGGCATGCACTGTGCCACTGAGCTACATCCCTAGCCCTGAATATCCTAAATTTAGTACGCTTTCAGACTAGATTGTATATTTAGAGTCTTAAATATGTATCATTGATTAATAGGTGCTAAATACATGCTTATATTTTCTCTTTTTTTTTAACATTTTGAGTTTAACTGAATTTTGCTTACTTTAGTAGTATGATTAAACCAAGGTTTTAAAGATATGGTATGTTACTGGGTTTTAAAGTTTTATTTTGTTTTTGTCTTTTTTGAGACAGGATTTCACTATACATTTCAGGTTGGCCTTGAATTCACTTTGTAGCCTAGGCTGCCTTCAGACTTATAGGGATCCATCCTCCCAGCACAGACTCCCGAGTACTGGGGTTACAGGTGTGTGCCACCATGCCTGGCTGTGTTGCTGTTTATCTTCTTGTCCAGGGTATTCTTTTCCACTGTGTGTAACTTATAGTTCTTCATATTTAGCAAGTTGATCGTCCTGTCTATTAAGTAGACAAGAATGAACTGAGTTACATAGTTTAAGGAGAGCAGTAGCAATGGTCAGGGACATTTTTGTAGATTAGAGTGAGGGCACAGTACCACTGCTGTGTGAATATAGCAGAAAGCAGAGGAGTAGCTTAAATTATACAAATAGTGATTTATCAAAAAGAACATACCAAGCAAGTCAAAGTCAAAGCTTCAATGTTTTTAGCTCGCAGGCTTTTATTGCTCAGATTTTTGTTATGAAGAGGAATACATGGAAGATAGCCTAGTTTCTTACATTTGGGAATTTACAGTCACATTAAAAAGAATACAACAACATGATGAAACAACGAGGAACTGGATTGTCAAGTATCATCAGATAGCAAATTCTGTGGTCTAGATTATCAGTGTCATAAAAGTTTAGGATAAACTCATATTCCATGATTCTTGATTCTTTCATATATATATATTATAAGTTAAACTGGGCAAGGTGGCATATGCTTGTAATTCCTGCAGTTGGAGCTGAGGCAAGAGTATCACCATTAAGTTCAAGGCTAACCTGGGCTACATAGTGAGGGCAAGGTCAGCCTGAACTACAAGGCAAGATCCTGTCTCAAAAAAAAAAAAAAAAAAAAAAAAAAAAAAAAAAAAATATATATATATATATATATATATATATATATATATATATATAGTTAATAAATTTAGTAAATGACAGCAAAATTATCACTTTATTCCATTTTTTATAATTTACATATTATACTCTGGTATTTCGGTGAATATCAAAAGAGGTGAATTTCTTTATGTGTAAAGATTTTATTGAAATAAATGGAAATAGTCACTAAGCTTGTGTTTCAGACCATAATTTAATGTAATTATCTGTATATTCTATAATATATATATTGTCCTATTTTGTTTTTATAATAAATTGTTTTAACAATCCTCTTTCAAGGAAGTTGAAGAAAGTTACCAAGTAAAAAACATTTGAGAGGGCCATAGATTTAGCTCAGTGGTACAAGCACCTCTCTTCAAGTGTGAGGTTGTGAGTTTGATATTTAATTCCAAAAATTCCCCAAAACCGAAAAAACCCACATTTGTGATCCAAATAGATTTTCTTTTGTTATATACATATGTAATTTGCACTCCTGTAAAAATACATATATACTTTTTTAGGTCACATAGTAAATTTTCTGTATAGTTCAATTTGTTGTATTCACTGCCTACGAAAAATATTCTGGTAAGTCCATATTCTGTAATTTAGGTGCAGCCTCATTTTTGTTAATCTTTTCAAATTTTTTTGTGATTATCATGTTATAATGAATGTTTTGTGCATAGGGCTTTTTAAAAAGTATTTCCTTAGGTTGAATTAAAGGCATGATTTATATATATTCATTTGCTTATACATTCTGTAGTTTATATGGTGTTTTTAAAGACCTATGTACTAGTGTTGACTGCCTGCACAATTTCATTGTGAATCCAGAGTCATATATTTTTACTAAGATTTCCAAGAATTCAGACTGATATATATTAAAATAATATATTAGCCATTTACTCATATAAAATTATTATATATCCAGTGTAAACTGTACTATAATTTTCAATGTTCCATCTGACTAATATTCTAAATTTTTTCCAGAATACATGTGATGCTGAAAAGACTTACGAAGCGTTATTGAGCTTTGTCATAAGTGAACTATCTAAAGGAAAATTATACCATGAAGAAGGGACTCAAGAATGTTCAATGGTATGCTTTTACTAAGATCAGATGAAATGATTTTTGAGCAAAAATAAAGATTTTTATTGTCATTATGAGTGTAATTTTAAAGCTACATCTATTATACAGTGAACCATTCAAATTTTCTTTTTTAACTGTAGGTTAGTCCTATTGCTTGGTCGCCTGAATCCATGGAAAAATACTTACAAGACTTCTGCTTACCTTTCCTTAGAATCACCAGCCTTCTTCAGCACCACCTTTTTGGGGAAGATTTACCTAGTTGCCAGGTATAATTTGGGGTACAAAGTAGGAAGCCTTATTTTTACAATAAGCTAATTTTTAAAATTATTAATACATTGTATAATACTTATGTTGATACATGTAACTGTCAGGTTAATCTACCTCAAAGCAATAAGTACTTAGAACATTTACTGTTTTGTGATGGTTGATATTCACCCATTTTTATGGCAGTATTACCAGTGTTGAATATTGAGCAGTTTTCGATTAAATCAGTGATAATTCTTGACTAATACTTGAATAGGTTCATAATATTCAGTATAATGATGTTATTATTACTAATATCGTTCACTTTTAAGTCGTTTAAAGCTTCCCCCATGCGCAGGGAATCACTTGGCCCATTTTTGACTCCCTGGGCAGACATTAGGCAACTGCTAGCTGCTTGCTGGTTGCTGGGCGTGGCCCAGGTAAGCCCTCGGGGCCCTGGGCGTGATCTGGGATGCTGGGCGTGGTCTTACAGCTGGGATCGATGTGGACTTTCCAAAATTTCCCCGTGTGCGTTGGGATTGAACTGGTGCATGTTTGGTTCCTGGAACTGAATTTAGGCCTCTGTTAGCCACTTGGAGGTTGCTGAGCGTGGCCCAGTTAGGCCGCTGGGGACTTCCTGTGCATCCTCCGGTGGTTTGAGACGCTGAGCATCTTAATGTCTTTTTAAATATTTTGTTATTTAGAAAACTGATTGTTGAAGGTGTGGCAGTATGTTTGTTTGTTTGTTTGTTTTAAATAGCAGTAAAATATTTGGTATATAACTAATTGTGTTAAAATTTGGATGAATGAATGTATGATTACTGGTTTAATCTGTTTCACAGAACTGTGAGTAAGCAAGAAAGTAACATGGTAGGAAACCAGAAGATAAGCAGCCTTTTTGGAATATGAGTCTGACGTTGTATCCATTCTAGGGAATTAGATGTAAGAATTATGACATTTACCATACTTAACGGTTTGAAGCCTGAGGCATATCAGAATTAAAATTTTATTCCTTTTGTCCTAACCTATCAACCATTATCTTACATAGTTGAATTCTTTGGTTTTATCAAGTACTTAATCTCTGTATTTGTCACCAAAACATTCTCTTTAGACTTTTAAGATACTGAACAAATACTCATCTGTTAGATATTTTCTTTCAGTTTTTAAAAATTTTAACTTTCAAAAAGTGTATTTTCTTCAGGCAGATATGTATCCTTAAAGCATGAAGATTACTAAATCAAAATAAACTTTTTTCTTTATTATCTTTACTTTCTTACCATTTAAAGAGCATTGGTAGTTCTTTTTATTCTTGCTTGTTGCTTATTTTTGTTAGAGTGTGCTTTGTTCCTATAAATTGGAAAGTATGCTGAGGCAGAAGCTCATGAGCTGGGTGTTGCTCTGGAGTGCCGAGGAGGCAGTGCACTGAATTGGGTGCATGAAAATAGTGTCAGACAGAGGGACAATTAAAGAGAGATTAAAATTAAATTCAGTGGGTCTGTGTTTAAACGTGAGGGAGTTAGGACCACTGAAAGAGTTTGGACAAAATTGTGATTCACATTTTATTTCAAGATGTAACTTCATTATAGTCTAAGATTGCAGGAGTGAGGAATAGAGAGACTGGCTACAGAAAGACCATTTGGAAAAAGGACATACTAGGAATAGAAGAGGACAGGAAATGATTTAAGATTTCAGAGATAGAGCAGTCAGGATCTGGATGAACTATTTTTATATATTCAAATTGAGGGCCTAGTTGGATCATTTAAGAGGATCTACTCAACTAAAGCAAAAAAAGTAGGGCTTCTGATGGGAGTTTGTTGTCTAGCTCTTTAGATTCCTGTTGTGTATAATCTTACTGTATACATGCATGCGTACGTGTGCGTTCACTTGCTGTTAATGCTTTATTCAGTTTAGCCTTTTGTTTGTATTAAAGGATGAGTGGATGCTTTGTTATACATACTTAAACTGTTAATTTGACAGTTTCTTTTATATGTCATTTTCATTTACAACATTTTGTTTCATCCATCCATATCTTACAGCTATCTAAAATATTTTCTTTTGTTCTTTTTGATTTTAATTGCAAATCTATTCATTCAGCTTTGTATTTAATTTAAACTTTATAGCAACTACAACTATGTTATCTTAATTCTACAGTCAAGGAAGCAGGCACAGAAAAATAGAGTCTTACTCAAGATTCACAGCTACTAAGTTGAGCAGATGTATTTAGTCCAGATTCTGAATGTGTACCATATATGGGCTATGCTATTGCTTGCAGAACACTTTTTGAGAAATACAGGTCATTTTCTATTACAAACTACTACAATACTGCATTTGTATTCCCTTTGATCTCAGTATACCCTTAGTAGTGTACTAAAGATAGTTTTTTACAGTATAATAATATGATGTTTGATTTACTGGTAGATGAATGTACATAGTGGGGTATCAAAAAATGAAAATATCAAATGCTCATCAGTGAAAAATGGGTTAAATCAACTCTGGTTTATTCACACAATGGAATACTCTGCAGAAAAGGTAGGAAGTTTTCTGTATGTTGATATAAAAAAGTCAAAATGTATTAAATAAAGGAAAAAATGTAGTTAAATTATGTACAGATAGAGGAAAAATAATCATATTAGTATTTACTGTTTTATGTATAAGATGCATATAATAAACTGTATAAGATACATTAGTTTTGGCCAATTCTTAGGAGTTAGGGCAGTGAGCTTGAAATTTGGATAGAAGAACAAAATTGGTGGAGAGATTTTGTTTAATAATTATCTTTTTATGGCTCTTGGTTTTTAAATATTGTAGATATATTACGACTGAATTTATGGAAAATAAAAAGTTCGTTTTGAATGATGGATTCATGTTTTTCAAAATTCAAAAAATACCAAAAGATACTCTGTGAAAAAAATCTCCTTTGACCTATTTCCCTAGCCATTGAATTGGTGTCCGTTTCCTCTGTATTATTCCAGAGACACTATGTATACAAACAAATACATGTAGGTAAGGGATCTTTTTTTCTTTTAGCCCTTTTTATATTCTCTGTTCTACTGTTACATTTTTCCCTCATTCTTAGAAATCATTTCATATTTAATATGAAGACCTTCCTAACTAGAAGTTCAGTATATTTCAATATATAATATACTAAGATATATTTAACCAGTACTCTGTTAGTAAACATTTGAGTTATTTCTGATACTTTATTATTTACATGTATTCAGTTAGAAGTGATTTTCTGTGTCAGTAGTTACATCTATTTGTAGTTTTTGTTTTATTTTCTTTTTTGAGACAGGGTCTCCCTACGTAGTTCAGGTTGGCCTTGAACTCTCAACAGTTTCTACCTGACCCTCCCAACTGCTGAGATTACAAGTGTGCATGCCATACTTGGCTTATTTGTAGTTTTGAGGTTGTACCAGTTTATAATAACAGCAGTAATAAATGAGAGTTTCTCTATTCAGAGGCCTTCTTAGTGTATTATCACACTGATCTTTGCCTTTAGATCATTTGTGTAAATAAATATATACTACATTTTTGTGTAGTTTTAATTTGCATTTTTCATTTTTAGAATCAGGTGCATTTTATTTACTATGACCCCTCTGCTATATAATGTTTCTTTAGAAAATAATTAGAAAAACAAATTATTACTTGATCTGAAAAAATATAGTGACTCATGAGGGTTTTTGTTTTTGTTTTTTTGTTTAGAATAATCTCTGATTGTTGAATACTTTGTCCAAGTTAAATGATGAGGAAAAATGTGAAACTTCTTTCATAAATTTTTCCTGAGTGTTTCCTCATTTTAATGATCCACACCTGGACTCACATAGGCTTCATGTGAAAGGCCAAGTAATCCTATGAAGTATCCTATGGGGGAATCTGCCCCCAAATTATGTAGAGCTTTGTTAATTTTTATTAGTGTAAGATTTCTCATCAAAAAAGATTGGAAAAATACTGTTTTTTTACTGTTAGTAGTTCTCATCTTCTCAAGTTATTTTTGTGTCTTACATTTGAAAATAAATGCCTGGGGCTGGGGGTTTAGCTCAGCGGCATAAGCACCTGCCTTGCAAGCAGGCGGTCGTGAGTTCGATCCCCGGTACCGATAAAAATGAAAAAGACAAAAAAAAAAAAAAAAAAAGAAAAAGAAAAGAAATGCCCTATGCCCTCTCTCAAGAGAACAGGAAGATCTGTTGTAAATATATGTGCACAAAATAACAGATGACAGACTTGAAAAAAGAAATAGTACAGTTGTATTTGGAAACTTCAGTGTACTTAGCAATCAGTAATCAGCAGATAGAGAAGCAACTGAAATAAAGAAGGTCTGGACACTGTCAATAATGATATAATTTGCTTCTCCACAAGTAGCAGAATTCATAGTTTTATACGTACACATGGAGATGTTCGCCTGGAATACAACATGTGCCATCAAGAAAATGGGTGTCAGTAAGTTTTTAAAAAGTGAATCATAAAACAAGTTTTCTAACCATGCAGAGTAAAATTAGAAATTAGTAGCGAAAAGATAGAAAATGCCCAAATGTGCAGTGAAGAATACATTTTTAAGTAACTTACAAATAAAACCAGAAACCAAAAGGCAGTTACAAAATATCTTTGAAAATGAAAGTATAGCATAGAGAAATTAAAGATGTAGCTAAGCCAGTTCTTAAAGATTTATAACTTCAAAGGCTTATATTTTATTTAAAAAAAAGGTTAAACCAATTTATCTGAGTTTCCAGCATTTAGACTTGTAAGAGCAAATTAGACACAGAAAGTATCATCGAAGAAATGTAATTTCTCCTCAGCCTGGTAAGTTGGAACAGACTCCTGTATCAAAAGACAGAATAGCAAGAGAAAAACAAGTTTTAAAATATGTGCAGTGAACATCACATTGGAAAACCTCAGTGACAGTAACTCAAAGCCATGGCTGAAAACTCTGGCTTATAAAATATCCTCACCAAAGATTAGTAAATTTTAGGAAAGTGACAAGAAAAAGGAAAGCAGTTTTAGACTTTTAGAGAAGTAGGAAATTGTA